TATCATAAAGTTAAAGACGTATCCTGATTTAAAAAAATTGCACAGGCAACACTGACTTCCTTCCTGTGCCTCCTGCTCTATCGACGCCTCCTTCGTCACCCAGCACTTTGTTGGCTTCTGAAAGTCCTCCTTTCCCAGGCAGTTTACCTCCTTGCGGTCCCTTGATCAGCAGCATCCTTTTTAGAAATGCAGAACCTCAGCGTGCCCCACGCAACTTCCCAGGAGATTCACATGCACCTTAAACTTCAAAAAGCACTGGCTGAACTAGGAGCTGACAGCCTAAGTGGATGTTTTCTTAAGAGTATGGCGCTTCTTCCCCACCACCCTGCCCTTTCTTTTTCCTGGGACACCTGCCACGAGTTACCTTTCCAAAGCTTGAAAAAGAGACTTATTTTTTCAACTCACGAAGTTTTAACAGCTAGAAAGTATCCATCAACCAGCTGATCCTCTCATTCTATAGGAGAGACCCAAAAAGGTTATGACTCTCCTAAATCCCACAACTAATGGCAGAAACTGGCTTTAGCATACCGCTTCCCGGACTCTAGATCCCTGTTTTACTGGGCTGCCACTTCCCGCAACTTAACTGAAAAAGCATAGATCAGTGAAAGGATTTCTTTGTTTTGCTTTATATTTTTTTTCATTTATTGATTTTTAGAAAGACATCAGTTTGTTGTCCCACTTATTTATGCATTCGTTGGTTGATTCTTGTATGTGCCCTGACCAGGAATCAAATCTGCAACCATGGCACATGGGGACGACACTCTAACCAACTGAGCTACCTGGTCAGGACCTACTTTATGACAATTTTTAAAAGGAAGTGGGGACAATGCTAACTGAAACCTAGGTCCAACAAATGGCTCTTCCTCACAAGACCACAACTACCTTAAGTGCACTTTCATCCCAGGGCAAAACATAGGTAATGCATAGCAAAAGTGCATAAATTCCATTATATCCAAATTCCTCATACTGGTTCCCCATGTCCCGGGTGGTATGGTGCACCATTATGAACAATAATTTATTACATAAGGACATAAGGACTTATATCTTTAAAAAGTTAAGGAACAAGAGGAAAACCAACAATTTGGGCTGATGGCCAGTACCCAGTAATAGTCAACGAGTGCTTCTCTCTGACTTGAAGGACAGACGGACGCACCGAAGGGCACACTGCCTGCTCTCAGAGAAGTGAGCAACCACTCACTCACTCATCTGTGCTCAGCTGGCGTGCCACTGATTCCCTTCCCAAAAACTGTGGAACTTTAAAATGACAACTTAGCTGCAGGACAATAGATGACAAAGGGGAGTTCCTTTCCACGTTGGTCTTAAAGATGGGTCTGACAGCAAGTCGAACAACCTAAGGCTGCCAGACATCCTTGTTTGAATGCAGTACTGAGACAGGCTACCACAGGGATGGACCTCGAAAACATTATACTAGGAGAAAGAAGCCAGCCACAAAAGGCCACCTATTGTATGATTCCATTTACATAGAGTGTACAGAATAGGCAAATCCATAGAGATATAAAGTAACTAATTAGTGGTTGCTTAGGTCTGATGGAATGAGAGCACAGGAAGGTTATAGAGGAAGGATGAAAGGTTTCTTTTTGAGTGATGAAAACATTCAAAATTTGCAGTACGACGGATGGTTGCACATATCTGTGAATATACAAAAAAACACTGAATTGTACCTATTAAAAGGGTGAATTATATGAATTATGTTTCAATAAAACTGTTATTTTTGAAAGAGTAAATGGTGTTGGATACATGAGGGGTTGTTTCTGAGTATTCCTTATGCTTTTGTTTATGTTTACATTTTCTCATAATACAATAAAGTTTCCCTTTTTTAAAGTAGGATACGCCTATATTTTGGTTGCATTTCCCACTCTCTCAGAAGAACAGTGAGTTAGCACATTCAATCCAGAAAGTCAGCAAAATGCACTTTACCCTTCCTCTTGGAAGAACCACCACCACATTGAGAGAAAGAAAAACTAACCATAAATTTAGAATTTTCCAAGCTCAGAAAGATACAGGTCTTGACTTTAAGATACTAAGGTAAACAGCAGGTAGAGGAAGTCAGTTACTGGCAGGTTAGGAAGAAAGAAGTAAAGAAAAATAACAGGGCATTTTTCAATCATGAAACCTGACTTTTCTGTTACAAAAAATAAAAAGTATTCCAAATAACAAAAATTAAGGGTGTATAAAATTGGCTTTTACTTGGTTTAGTCTTAAATAAAAAGAAGAAACAAGAGGCCCTGGGTGGTATGGCTCAGTGGATTGAGTGCTGACCTGTAAATAGAAAGATACCTGGTTGGATTCCCAGTCAAGGCACATGCCTGAGCTGCCCACCAGGCCAGGTCCCCAATTGGGGGCGCTGGAGAGGCAACCAAACATTGATGTTTCTCTCCCCCCCTTTCTCCCTCCCTTCTCCTCTCTCTAAAAGTAAATAAATAAAAAAAATTTTTTTAAAGAAGAAACAAGAATTCATATTTTATCCCCTATTCATTCAGGTTTGAGTTCCAGCTCCTCTGTGAGTTTTTATTTCTAAGCAAATGAAAAACAAAACCCAGAAATCAGGTTTTCAATGCCCATCATCTCCCTTCCCTGGAAAGGAAATGAATAACTACAATTTACTAATCATTGACTAGTCCCAGGCAGGGTTCTCAGTGCCTTGTAAGTATTCTATGTTAATCTTCCTACCAGAATACAAAATAAATCATAGGTAGTATTATTATTCAGGTATCCCTTGCACACAGAAAGGTTAAGAAACCTGCCCAAGGGTTCACAACTAGTAAGTGGTGGAAGTAGTACCCCAAACCAGGCTGTCTAGTCCAGAACCTAGACCCGTGCAGCCACACCACAAAGACCGAAAGGCTGCACCTCTGTGCACAGTAACTCTAATCCCTGCAAGTTCAAAATGCAGAAAAGCAGTTCATACATTTAATTAAAGGGTTAAAGGATGATTAGAAAACAATAATTTTAACAGGTTTAACAGGGTTTTAGCAGGTGCATACCTATAAATAGCCACAAAAGATTTATTTCATATGCTTCATTAGAATGATAAATAGAAGATAATCTTTTTATCCCCTAAGCTCCAGAAATTCTCCTCCCTACTTATCACTTTACATTTTTTTTTGTTTTTAATACCTACTTACACACATATTATCTCCCACACAGAGTCTGCTCAGTCTGAGTTTTTATTTAAGATATGCATATTCCAACACCTCACTGGCCTGGTGCTACAATATGGAAGGGTGGCTAGAGAAATGCCTGTGCAGGGACATGTGGTCAGGAAGGCAGATTCTGGGATTAGGAGGCTAAGGCTCTGACACTGCTGTTGTTCATATTTGCAGCTTTGCTTTCTCTGGGTCGTGCTAAAGCTGCCGCAAATTCTGCAAAATAGGACTCAGGTCTTCCAGTCCAAGAAAGATGGCAAGTGCACATACAGGCAATAGAATGCTGCTTTTGAAGACATAATGGTAAGGGTTGAGTGTTGGAACTTTCAATAAAAGACACAAAAGGCATAGAGCACAGGAGAGGGAGTCTTTCTGACCCCATACTCCAGCGATGTGACCTTAGACAAGTTCCTTACCACCCAGTCTCCCAACTGTTCTGGGTGGGGGAGGATAAAATGGCCTAACATGTAGCTGCTTAGCTCAATACCCAACCCACAGGACACATCAGATAAATGTCAGTGGTAACTTACAAGAAGTAATGGTGGTGCCGGTGTGCTGTGAGCAAGACAAATTTACACAGGGCCAATCCGACCCTCTGGGCTGAGGTTTAAATGGGACATTCAAAAGGCTGACAGTAATCTTTCATAGATATGTTGTCAATCAGCAGAGATGTTTTATAAGTTCGTATGTTTCAATATTTTTGAGAAAGATTTGAAAGTCTTAATCCTGCGAGGTAAGACTTGCTTACATACATCAAAAGATGTACAGGAATGTCCAACCTGCAGCCTGTGAGCCACATGCAGCCCAGGGTGGCTATGAATGAGGCCCAACACAAAACCGTACATAAATTAACTTAAAACAGTACAAGATTTTTTTGTGATCACGTGTTGCAATGTATTTGATGTGTGGCCCAGAGATGCAATAAGTTGGAGACCCTTGGAAAACTTTTAAAATTATTATATACTATTGATATCGGACTTTTTTCCCTTTAGTGATGTTTCCATCGGTTAAGTTGTACGATAAACATAAGTGTAGTTGTAATTTAAGAACAACAATTACACAAAGTGAAAAATCCCTTAAACTCTCATAAATAGCTTGTAAATTATTTGCAATTTTTTAAAGTTTTTTAGATTCTTCTGAATAATGGTTCTGTCTATTCACCAAAAAAATCTACCAATTATTCTCATGTTCTCAACTTACATATTCCTAATAAATTAGAAAAATCTCTCCCTCTCTGAATGCTGGCAGGCTTTAAGACTCATAGTTTCATGCACGTGTGTGACATGGTTTCATTTTTTTAAGTAAAAGTGAGCTAGGAAAAAAAAACTGAATTTCTGCTGGAAATCTTAGTCAACTTCAGGACTTGGCTGGAGGAGGGAGATGCTAATAAAATCGGGTCAGTTCATCGACGCTGCTGTAGTCTGCAATGTAAAGGGAGAAAGTGAAGCAATAATCCTGTTGCAAGAAGGAATCAGAGGATATAAGTACATGCATCCCACTTCAGTCATAGGCTGGGAACTGCTTTGACCATTTGCTCACAAGACCTGTTAAAGTGCCACAGGAGTAGGATGCTCGTGCACCACGTGACATTCCTGAATGCAATCTTTAAGAATTCTTACCACCCTTTCTGTAAAATGTTTTCGGGACTTCACACACATCGTGCTCGTAGTTGTGTTTCGTTTTGTTTTCAACGCAAACATCCTTCCTAAGAAACCTGTCACCCCATATCCCCCCAAACCATTACACGGCAATAGAGGATCAATTTTGCCCACAAACAAAACTCACAAAGGGAATCCATGCCCTGGATGTTTAATACCACACCTACTTTCTTACCTGAGGCCGAATCAGGTGGGTCCTGCCCCACCTTCCTTCGAACTCTCTTTCCGCAGATTTCCCTTTAAGGACGCCAGCCAGGGTCCTGGGGAACGGCGAGAGCGAGAGCGGAGAGTGCAGAGAAACGCAACCCTAACTTCGCTACTCCCTCTTGCTCTCCGGCTCCAACTCGTTCCACGCCCCAGGCGAAGAGCACTGCCAGCTCCACAGAGTTGGAGGGATCACCCCAAGGAGCTCCTCTGCATCCCTTCTCTGTCACCCCCAGAGACAAGCAGGGAAAACGGCATCGATCGCTTGGAAGAGACCAGGCAGGCAAGAACAACGGCGAGAGCTGCAGCTCACGAAGAACAGGACAGGATGAAGGAGGAGGCTGTGAGTGAGATGTAGCAGAGAAAGGACAGCAGCGGCGGAAGGGACACCTCCCGGCTCCCGCCTAACTCCAAGCCATCTTCGCCCTGTTGTCATAGCACTTTTCAACGAAGGCTACTGCACAAGTCAGATGGCTGAGCCCCGATGCCTTCTGGGGGATGTAGTCCGGGGAGGCTAAGACGACGGAAGAAGGAATATTTTTTCTGAGTAGGCGGTGCTGGGAGTCAGATTTCTACTGGGCGGGGCTGGGATGAACTACTGTTGGGTGCTCATTAGCAGAGAAAGGTAATTAATCAAATTTCCTCTGCAGGCCTTGGACAGTTCTTCGATTTCTGCGCTGAGGTAGATCCACCACCCTCTCCACCGAGTCTCGGCCGCGGACTTAAGCCGCAAACCTCCAGCAGCTTCTCCGTCCCCTCCCCTCGGCGCTCCTGGGTGGGGCTTTCTGCGGGGGCGGGTCGTCCGCGCCCTTCCACAGGATCCGGGTTCCCAGGACCAAAGCCTCCAGGAGCGACCTCATCTTTTCCCCTAAGAGACCCACGAGGCTCTCTCCAGATGAGCTGCAGTGGCCCAGGTGGGCGTGAGGGTAGTGCTGGCCCAGTGCTTACCTGGAAGAGGTAGATCAGAAGACCAAGATCACTGAGATGGTGGGGCAAACTTCTGGTGGTTTAATTTTTTTCCTAGTGGAAAAAGTGCTGCTATAAAGTTATCTGTACATTTCTCCTGATCACGTGCTAAATATTCTCTATTGCATATACATTGGATTGGATTCCTAGTATATAGGTATGCAAATACTCAACTTTACAATTGAACATAACAAAAAATGCCAATTTTTCAAACCTTTTTTCATCTGTTGACCATCGGCGCCAATTCAACACCAACAGGAATCCCCAAATGGGGGTGATGTGAAGCAGGAAACTTGATTCATGGCAAACAGCTCAATTATGATACAGCACAGTTGTAGAACAGCTCAATGGCATTACAACTCACGGACGACCTAGCACAGCTGTGGCAAAGAGGCAGCCCTAGGAGACACTCCAGTGAGATGTCTTCAGCTCCAAAGGGAAAAATACAGCCTTCAGGGGAAAGGGAAAGCCTACTCCTCAATCCAGAGGGGAGCTAACCTATATAGAAAGAAGTCCAAGAGCATGCTAGCACCTTTCCCTTCCAACTCTTATTTCCCCCACAGGCCTTCAACTCAAACTCTAAAGGCCCCCACAAGATTTGCAACCAGGGGAGCAATGGGTGGCAGCAGCATTTCCTGCGCTAACACCCTGAACTGTCTCCAATGCCCACTTTTCTCTGCCCAGTGAGCTGACCGCAGCCCTGCCTAGTCTATCCTGTTGCTTCTTAGCCACCTCTTTATTTCAGGGTCACCAGCTTTAATAAACACTCTCAAAATAAAAATAATAATAATGAAATGAAAAGAAAATCCTACTACTGATCCATCATTGATCCACCCTCATGCAAATGAAAACTCCAAATTCTCACAGTTTGATTGGTCCAAACAGCACTGTTCAGATTGGTCAAAATGGAGCTGCTCTGATTGGTCAGGGATATAGCTGTGCAACTTTGATTAGACAGTGAAATTCTCAGTCCTATTGGTTCAACTGGGATTCCAGGCTCTCATTTGTAAAGACTGGCTCAGACATCCCCCACACAGTGCAGGCGAACAGTTCAGGGTAGGAGGTAGATCCAGTAAAGTCTTCTTCCTGAAACTGGCTTGTCTGATAGGCCCCTATTTAGAAATGAGTGCTATTTTCGTTTTTTATATTTAAACCCAGTTAGCTACCAAGAGTATTTCTTGGTAGTTGCCTTTTTTCTCAGGGTCTACACATCTTTGCTTTCAAATTCAATGTAGGTATAATACCCTCCTAGTAACCAACCTTGAAACTTCCTTCATTGGATCTTAGCTTACGCTTTAAAGGTCCTGTTTGTCATTACCAATTAACATTACCCTAGAAAATGAATTCTAAGTTACTTTTCTTAAAGATATAAGTATTTCATAATCATGAAAAGCATTAATTTTTTAATACTGATATAAAACCATCAAAACAACGCGAGGGGAGCCTCCTAGCCAGAGAGGTCCTCAGGCAGAAGAAAAGGACTCCCAACGTCCCACCGCCGGCATCCCGGCCCTCAGCTGCCGCCAGGGGGCGCGATCCAACCTCCAGCTCTAACCGGCCAGGCAGTGGGCCGGTGCTCCCAGCCAGAACTCCAGACCGCGCCTCGGGAGGACGACCCGGGCGGCGGCGGGAGGGGGCGCTGCGGTGACCCGGCGGGCACGGCGCGGAGGAAGTGTCGTCCTCGCCGCCGCCTGAGCTGCGCAGGCAGCGATGTCCTCCCGGCACGGGCACGCCGACTCGGGGGCCGAGGGCACACGGCGACCGCGGGAGCCGCGGGATCAGGAGCTGCAGCGGCGCCGGGAGCAGAAGCGGCGACGACAAGACGCGCAGCAGCTGCAGCAGCTCAAGCACCTGGAGTCCTTGTGAGTCCCCGCCCGCCTCCGGGCCCCTTCGAGGAATGGGCGCCGCCTGGACGCCACAGTCCGAGACCCGCCTGTAGGGGGCAGGCGGCCCGGCTGGGGTTTTGATCAAATGCGGCGCGCAGCGCGGTGCTGCCGCCCCGCAGCGGGAGGGAGGGTCAGTGCCCGGCTCCCCCTCGCCGCCCGAGCTGGGTGGGAGCGCGGGCCCCACCCCCAGGTTCCGGGGCGCTGGCGGGGAGCGGGAGGCGGGGGACAGGGTGCAGGGGGCGCTTCCGCAGAACTGAGTGGCTGTTGCTGTCCACGTGCCGCTGTCAGAGTTTCGCCTGCGCTCTATTACGCGCTCTCTCTGGACTTGGAGACTGAATACGCGAGAAGTGCGCTTCGGTCCCTGTCCTTTCACGGTGTTCAGGTCACAGGACCCACTGTGACCCCGATACAGTCTTTTCGTTTCTGTTACTAAGGGAAGAGAAAACGCAGTCCTGTAACCTTAGTGTGGTAAGAATAAACAAAGGGGTGAGGGACCTGTCCCTAACTACTGCGAAGGTGGCCAGACCGGTAGAAGAGTGTTAGGCTTGCTCTCCAGCCCTGAGGACTTGAACCCGGATTAGGGGTGGAAGCTCAAAAAAAGGGTTAGGTCGAGTCACACATACACTCTTGCAGGTGAGCCTAGCCCGACTTAAGAGGCACTGGGCTCCCAGCTCCTGAGGGGTCAAGAAGAGTCCAAGTAACCACTGGGAGGAGGGTAGGTTGTGAAGGAGATTGAAACATCAGGTGGGAAGTTGCATTAATGACCTTCCCGTTCTTGTCCGTCATTCTGCGACCCTGTAAGCAGCTGTAGGAGTCAGTGCCTCTTGAGCTTTGACACCCAATGCAATGCTTTCTTGGAGCCCCGCCTGCTCTTTCCAGTGTGGCCCTTGAGCTGAATGTCACCTCAGTAGGGCAGTGGTTGCAGGATAGAGCCCTTGCATGGCAGGCACCCACAGTCCTGGCCCGGTCAGGCCTGGCCCGGTCAGGGACTCTGTTTGGCTCATTCCATCTGCTCAATAAGGCAGATACTCAAAAATCTTTCCCAGCTTAAGCTCAGGCAAGGCCTAGCCCAGCCCAGCCCACCTCTCAATGTCTTCAACTGTAGGGTGCCAGACAGTGGTTAATACTATACATTTATTGTGCAATTCACAGACGTCAGAGAGATTATAACATTTTTGCAGATAAGAAAGTGTAGGTTCAAGAGTCAAGTAATCTGATCAAGGAATCATCAACCTATAAACAGTATAACTAAAGAGGAACCCAGGTGTCTGATTCCCAGACCAATGAGATTTTTCAGTTTGCAACTTAAAACTTTCTGGTTGCTCACTTATTTGGTTTGGCTAGTTCTGAAACTTGTTTACGTTTAAATAAAAATTTATATTTCCAGAGTCATGTAGTTCAAATATCAAATACTCCTAAAAGACTGATTAAAAAGGGGGTGGGGGGCATGGTTCTGCATCCCTACTCTTCATCCACCCCACACACTTCACACACTCTCTGCACCCTCCCTCTAAGCCTCAATTAGTAAACTATTAGTTTTTTTTTTCCTACTGGGATTCAGCTACATATTTTTAAATTATCTGCTTATACTGCTTTTTTTTTATTAAACAATAGACATTCCCTCTCAACCTCATGTCATAGAAGGTGAGGCTTCAGTTCTCTTTCCCTAACTTTCTTGTCTCCACCCTTCCAATTATAATTCTGTTAAATAAAGTTAGTATTAACATTATTAAAACTATGCAGTACTTTTCACTTTTGAGCCAAATGGTGTTCTATGATTTCTTTTGCTTTCATACCAGTGTTGTTTTTCAGGTAGTTAATAAGAGCCTCGGGGGGGTTCTTCTATTAATTTGCTTAATTTCCTATTACTGAGTGCTAATTTTATTCCAAAGGGTCTGAAAGTGAGAGTACTTTTTCCACATCAGAGCATCTGTCAATTAATTTTTTTAAACCTAGAATCTAACTCCTGTTCTCCTCCAGTAGACTCTGGTTCCCTTCCAGACCGGGTGCACAGCAACCATCCTGCGACTGCCCCCACCACTGTCGAGCCTTGGATCCCATTCCTGGATCCCCTGTCTTCCTCCTTCTGTCCTTACCTCATTTTGTTGAAGCACATTCAGTAATTCCTATAAAAAAGTGCATTTGGGGTAAATTTGTTAAGTCCTTTCATACCTGAAAATGTCTTTATTCTCTCACACATGATAAGAGTTTGGCTAGGTACAGAATTCCAGGTTAAAATTGTTTTCACCCAACTTCAGAGCTGGCGTGCACCATTTTTAACTCCCAATACTGCTCAGAAATCTGATGCCGCTCTGGTTCCCTTTCTCGTATAAGTTACTTGTTCTATCTCACCCTGCCTTTGGAGGCTTTAAAGAATTCTTCAACCCTGGTATTTTGCAGTTTTATGATAATGTAAACTTTTTCCTCACTGGATTTTCTCTCTCTCTCTCTTTTTTTTTATTCCTCCTCTCCCTGGATTTTTAAAAACTTTAATTTTCTTAACATTTCATGGCATTTAACATTCATACATGATTTGCGTTTTAATTTCCTTCCCTCCATTTTTTTTCCTTAGATTTCTGTTGATCCTCTGTCTTTTCTCTCCTATTTTACATCTTTTCTCTCCTATTTTACATCTTTTTGTTTTTTCATTCTACTTTCTGTAAGATTTATCTTCCAATACTTCCACCATTGCACTTTTTTAAGTTCCAATTATATTTTTAATTTTCAAGACATTGTCTTTGTTCTGAGAATCCTTTTTTTCATAGAATCCTATTGCTAACTTCATCAATGACATATCTTCTCTCATCTTTGAGGATACTTATTAGTCTTTGTTTTCTTCATCTTCCATTGCCTGTTTCTTATTTGCCTTTTCTTTTGATCTTTTTTACTGAGAGGTTTTTTCCTACTGTGTAGGGATCCTTAGGTCTTCCTCATTAACAGTGAGGCATTATAGCCCTGACTGGTGCAGCTCAGTTGGGTAGGTGTTATCATGCAAAAAGAAAGGTTGTCAGTTCAATTCCCAGTTACGGTGTGTGCCTAGGTTGCAGGTTCAGTTCCCAATCAGGCCCTGTACAAGAAGCAACCAATCAAAGTGCCCTGACAGAGAACTGAACCAGCAACCTTTCGATTCAAAGGCTGGTGCTCAATCCACTGAGCCACACCAGCCAGGGCCAAATCTATTATTTTTAATAGTTAAGTATCACCTTACTATTTGAGAAATATCTTTTTTAACATGCTGCATAAACTAAGGAATTCTTTAGCACTAGGAAAAAAAATACTAACCATATGTCTTTAAATTTGTGGAAACAGTTGGAAAATGTACCTTTTAGGGAAGGCCATTGCTAATAATAATTGATTTCAAAATATGCAGTCCCACCCAATTCCTTTTTCACCTAGGAAAAAACCATTTACATACTGTTCAGGAATTTGGATCTTAGCTTGTTTGGCCATATGTTATTTGTACGGCTCCTATGGCAAAAAGAAAGCACTGTTCGAGTCAACCGAAAAACATCAGCCAAGTGTTTTGTCACCAAAAAGAATTTACTCAAGAAAAGGAAAGGGTTGCAACCCAGTGCACAAAGACATGGCAAGCCGCATGCACACTCCGGCCTGTGTACCAAGGTGGAGGGGCTTTCGTAGAAGAGAAATGGAGGTTTCAGAAAAGGGAAGCTGAGACCAGAGGGCTTTATTATAAACATAGTTCTTCCTGCAGGGTTCTCCCAGGTAGAGCCCTCCTGGTGTTGTACAGTGCCAGACCTGCCACAAGCCCTGGCTCCCCCCGGAGACCCTCCCCACCGATTATGTTTGCTTACAGTTTCCCTTAGTCTTGATCATCGGGTTGTGGGGCACATGCATAGACTGACCACTTCCCTTCCAGACTCCCTTGCCTACAGCACAGCATTTCTGTTGCTAGGGTCTGGCTGCCAGTGAAATACAGCCCCTTCCCAACTTGTGCAAACGGTTGCTGCTAAGAGAAGCCTGGGCTTAAGACATGCCACAGCTTTCCACTGGAAAATATTTTCAGTATTTGCTTTGGAAAACAGCGTATCACAAAAGTTATTTACTATGTAATCCATTTTTTTAAGGGAATGTAAATCATTTTATTTATTTTTTTTCACTTTTTAAAAATTATTTATTTATTTTTACTGTATTTTTTTCCATAACCATATATCCCCCTTAGGCCCCCTCCCCCCTCGATCACCACACTGTTGCCCGTTACTGTGTAACCTTTAGGGAATAATTCCCACTCCGTCCCTTCAGAAAAGCTCTGGATCAGTGATGGTGAGAAGGAGCTCAGAGAAGGCTCCATCCCACTCCTTATTTGGAAAGGTGCAGAGAGGAAGCCAAAGGGAAGTGTTTCTTGCTGTGGCTGCTCACGGCACTTCTCATCCATCACCTACTGTGCAGGAAAAAACACTCCTGTTCTCCTTCACTACACTCAGACTTCACTTACAACAGCACACTACAGTCCAGCTGCGTGGCGGGTTTCCAACACCACTGAGCAACTCTCCTGTTCT